TGTTAAAAGGACCACCCTGTATATGAATTTGTGTTTTAGTTTTTAGTAAAAATTTAACGAAATTATTTGTCAATTGAATATTTAGTAAAATCAATTATTAAGTGTGAGAAAAGTTGACCCATAATGAAGAATCATAGCAACAGTGCTAAGGGTTGAAATATATTATTAACATTTCTGTTTTTTGGGATTAATTCAGGAAATGGGGAATGATTTATTTTGTATCGTAGGAACTAACAGAGCTCCTCCATTCATTTGTACATTTCCCTTTTTTACTTTCTCCCTTTCCACCCTTCGATTCGTCCTTCCCATTGTCTGCTCCCTACCCCCCTCCCCGTCCCCCATCGTTGGCGTTCTCTTCTTATGAATGAATCAGGGGATATCCTCGAATACCGTCAGCGACTCCACCGATCATTGCGGATCAGTTTGTTTCGCGACGCTCGAAATACCTCACGAGTGGATCCCAGGATCCTTCGGGAATTGATATTAGCGTGGGCGAGTGGATGTACCATTTTACAAACCGAGCCTCTGTCTCTCTTTGCTCGCTCGGTGGAATTCCGTCGGATGACTGATTGCGGTGATTCAAACGATTGAATTAAAAGTTCAATTAACGCGACGATTGTTTTGTAATTAAATAGTGATCGGCGAATACTATACGAAATTATTCAACATTCGTTTTGTTTCGTTGTTAACGGTTGTTAGTCAGCTACTTTATAATTAATCAATTATTCGTAATTGTCTACTTCATCTATGATGACATTATTTCATTTTCATTCTCAGTTATTAATTTTTATTGTCACGTTTTATATTCATAAGTTTTACTTAAATGTTAATGTCTAGGAAATTGTATTTACAAATATTTATAATAATTTTTTTTAATTTTTTATTAATAATTTATATATTATAAATAGTATATTACTGTACATAGTATTTTCTAAAATATATACATGTATATATTGTGTAGATCTATAATACATATAATTATTATACAATTTTATAATAGATAGATAGAATTTTATAATAGATATAATAGATAGATAGATTTTATAAAAG